AGTAAGCAGTGGGGTACCACAAGGCTCCGTCTTAGGCCCAGTTCTCTTCAAGATCTTCATTACTGACTTAGATGAGGGAATAGAAGGGGAATTCATCAAATTTGTAGATGACACTAAGCTGGCAGGAATAGCCAACACCCCAGAAGACCAACTAAGGATCCAAAAAGATCTTAACTAACTGGAACAATGGGCCCTATCCGATAAAATGAGTTTTGATGTGGAGAAAAGCAGAGTTTTACATTTAGGCAGGAAAAATCAAAGATATAAGTATAGATTACCTGAGACCTGCCTCAAAAACAGTAATTGTGAGAGGGACCTTGGAGTCCTAGTGGACGATCACTTGATTATGAGCCAGCAGTGTGCAGCAGCAGCCAAAAAAGCTAATACAATCCTGGGTTGCATAAACAGAGGCATAAAATCAAGATCAAGCAAAGTATTAGTACCGCTTTATAAAACCCTAGTGAGACCACACCTGGAATACTGCAATCAATTTTGGTCACCATACTACAAAAAAGATGTTGAGACTTTGGAAAAAGTTCAGAGAAGAGCAACTAAGATGATCAAAGGCCTGGAGACTAAAACATATGAAGAATGGCTGCAGGACTTGGGTTTGGCCAGCCTAAAGAAAAGAAGAAATAGGGGTGACATGATAGCAGTATTCCAGTATTTGAGAAGCTGCCACAAAGAAGAGGGGGACAAATTATTCTCCAAAGCACCAGAGGGCAGGATAAGAAACAATGGTTGGAAACTGATCAAAGAGAGAAGCAATCTGGAATTAAGGAGAAAGTTCCTAACAGTGAGGACAATTAACCAGAAATCACTGGAGATTTTTAAGAAGAGACTGGACAGTCACTTGTCTGAGATGGTAAAGGTTCTCCTGCTTGAGCGGCGGGTTGGAATAGAAGATCTCCAAGATCCCTTCCAGTTCTATTCTATTCTATTCTATTCCTTCTTTTATTTTCTTTCTTACTCTCTTCCTGTCCTATGTCCTATATTAAGTACTGGCAAACTTGTTGATGAAACCTTCCCTAGACCTCTCCTTTCATTCATGTGTCTCTCTTCTACTACTACTACTACTACTACTACTACTACTACTACTACTACTACTACTACTACTACTACTACTTCTTCTTCTTCTTCTTCTTCTTCTTCTTCTTCTTCTTCTTCTTCTTCTTCTTCTTCTTCTTCTTCTTCTTCTTCTTCTTCTTCTTTAGTTTAAAATCTTTGACACAATTGGTTTCCAATTTAAATTCTATAGCTTTTCCAAACCATATCAACCAGGATTTGGGGCTGGTCATTCAACTGAAATAATAGTAACTCATGTACCAAATGATACTCTGGTATATCAGTGTCCAGTTGCACTACTGGTTCTTGGGCTTCACTCACTGTGTGCGTGTCTTTTGTGTCCTTCCATTATAGACAGTGTACACAGCAGATAACAGTACTCGGGCCTTGGCTTCTATAGCAACAGGATAAGTGAAACCAGGACATTGTTAACCTCTCATGTCAAGAGGGCTATTACTGATTATATGGTTATAAATTATAACTGTAGCCAGAGGCAGTGTACTTCTAAATACTATGAATATATATGGGGAGCATTAATGCAACAGTGCTGCTCTCCTCATAGACAAAATAATTTTCATATGTTTCTGCTAGGCCTCTTTGTTGCAATCTTCTCAACTGATTTTATTTATGCATTCATTATATTTATACCCCACCTTACTTTCAGGAGCTCAAAGCTGTATACATAACTTTTCTTCCTTCAATTTTTTGTTGCTACATCAATCACTTAAAAGATAGGATGAGCTGAGAGGTAATGTTTAGGTCTGTATGAATCTGAAACTTTCCTGTCCTCATTTATTATCTAATAAACCACTAACCATACCGCACACAGCTTAACCAGAAACACCTGGTTTAGCATAACAAATCAAAACAATTTTAACTTGTAATGTAAAACACCACAATTCTTGAGGTTATACAAATATATCTTAGGAAAATATTTTAAAAAATGGAGGGGCATGTTCTAATAATCCTCTGCATAATACTTTAAAGGGAGAAAGGTCAAGAATATGGACCTTGAAGCAGATTTTAAAGATAGGCAGGCTTATATTTGAGAAGAGCCTTGGTATATACTAGTCCTTATACATTTAGTTTAATTGATGTTATCAGAACAAAACAAGAAAGGTTAAAAATGTACTTTGAATAGTGTATTTTGGTTTAAGTTGCTGAAATGTGAACCATTTGAAGTCTCCAGCGATAGCACTGATATTATCTAAATATCTCTAGACTAGAATAACTGTGGAAAGTTCATATGTTTCCATGAGAAGCTATACTGGAAGCCAAAATTATTTCCATAAGAATATAAAAATCGAAAATAATAATAATAATAATAATAATAATAATAATAATAATAATAATAAGAAGAAGAAGAAGAAGAAGAAGAAGAAGTAGTAGTAGTAGTAGTAGTAGTAGTAGTAGTAGTAGTAGTAGTAGTAGTAGTAGTAGTAGTAGTTGGAAGGGACCTTGGAGGTTATCAAGTCCAACCCCCTGCTCAGGCAGGTAACCCTATACCATTTTGGAAAAATGGCTGTCCAGTTTCTTCTTAAAAACTTCCAGTGTTGGAGCATTCACCGCTTCTGGAGGCAGGTTGTTCCACTGGTTAATTGTTCTGTTAGGAAGTTTCTCCTTAGTTCTAGGTTGCTTCTCTCTTTGGTTAGTTTGGTTACTGTTAAACCTTTTAATTTAAAGGAACATTGGACAAACTAAACCAATATCTAATTACATCATTTAATATGCTTCTGCTGCTGTGCAATTGAAATTGGACATATTGTATATTTGCCAGGTTTAGAAAAAGACAAAGAAAAACACATATCAAGCTAATTGTAGCACTATTCTGGTGATTAAAAATCTAGTGTTTATTTACACATTGTTGCTGTATGTCTATGTAGAAAATGCATATACATACCAGGAACCTGATTTTGATTTTGATTGTTATGTTGACCGAAGTATTACTCTATTGGTTTTACATCTTAAAGGCTTATATGGACACACCATGTAATTGATAAACGTCATCCAAATAATCCAAATTACACTGCATATTTAATGGAATTTATTGCTTTAAGATATTAGAAGAACTGATGTCTTAAAATGTAGTACTAATTACATGATATTGATTTCTTAAGAGTCAAGAATTAAGTCAATGTATTGGTCCATCTACTAGATTTTTGCAGAGACCAGATTCTGAGAGGCCCAAGTCAAGAAGAAAGCTGCTGCTAGTGGCTCAAAGTAAAGCACAATAAAATTGATTTAAGGTTGAGCCAAATGGTTTGCAAAAAAATCATAAGCAGCCATTACCACCTTCCTCTTGCCCAACTCTTCTGATGGTGTCTAGGTGTACTTCTTTCCACCAATAAGCACTGACAAGAGGCAAAAATGCAGATATTAGCTATTCCTGGCAACTGCTCCATTGCTTCTTTGATAGGACAGTAAGTTTCAGAATAGGGCAAGAATTCTAGCATGTGTCACTAGTCCTATACTGTACCAATTTTGATGAATAACTTTGGGCTGTCTATCCCCATCCTATCTCAAATTAAGGCATTGTTATGAATGTTTAAAATCCTAAACAGCTTGGGGTATCTAAATGAGCCCCTTAAGGGACTGAGGCAAGGACTTTGATGGGTCCCTATATCCAGAAGATGGTAGAGGACAGGAAGACCTGGAGGGACGTTGTCCATGGGGTCGCGATGGGTCGGACACGACTTCGCAATTAACAACAACAAATATCTTTCTATTTATTTTACATGACTGAAATCCCAAAGGCCTTCGGGCTGTATGCCACATTAAAAATCCAAATGAGCATCAACAACAAAGAAAAACGAGGATCAAACGCAAGGTCGGCACCCTCGGTCACTTGGGAATCCAAAGCATCTTGAAATCAAATAGATTGAATCTGTTTAGAGAACTCCAGAAAAGGGAAGACTGCATATACTTTGTGTGGCGAGTACTGTATTCCATAAAGTGGGGTGGGGGTGGGCTATTCCATGCCCCAGAATGGGAACAGAACCTCCTTTCAGCAAGCCTTCTCTCACTGACAGGACCAGGTGGCATTTAATTCTGGCATATCACTGTATTTGGGTGCTGTGCCATTTAAGGCTTTAAAGGTTTACGTTTAGGTGGAACCAAGTGAGTGGGCGGCAGGATAAACAGCCTTTCTAAGAAGCTGTTCTAGGGCTTTTGCCAAGACGATATTTGCCCATAGATGTGATGCATTGCTTTAGTGTACCTTTATGGCCTGCTGCCTTTTATTCAATCAGAGATGGACGAAGAGATGAGAGGATTAATACGGAGGGGAAAGCCTTCACCCTCCGGGATGCAAGTCCAGCATTCCCGAAGGTGTCCCTGCTTCCCCGTGGCAGGTGCGTGGGCCTCGGCACCTGCGAGCCTTCGCAAGATGCCGCAAAATACCTTGAGGATCCGGGGCTCCACCTCCAACCTCAGGGAAGGCGGCCGGAATTGACCCAGTCCCTCCGCCCGAGCATCCTAGTGCGAACCCATCAAGAGCGCGGGGCGGGCGCCTGCGCTGGGAGACGCCCCCCGGAAAGAGGGGGCGGGAAGAGAGAGGCGTCACGTGCGTAAGCGCCACGGTCCATCCCCAAGAGTGCTGCAGCCTCGCTCGGCGCCGGTTCTTCTGCCTTTTTTTTTTTTTTCCCCATCTCCCTGCCCCGGGCCGGGGAGTCGTCCCCGGAGAGGCGGGGCTTGAAGATAGACACCCAGAGACAGAGATTTAAATTTCATTTCCACCTTGAGCCGGGGAAGAGCAGCAGCAGCAGCAGCAGCAGCCGCCGCCGCCCCCCCCCGGCGAAGAGCCAGAGACTCGCTTGTTCTGAGCTGACCTAAGCTAAGCCTGCCGGTTTCTGCTGCTGCTGCTGCTGTTGCCGCTGCTGCATCTGCTGCAAAGTCGCCCGCCCGCTCGCCCGCCCGCCTGCCTGCCTGCTGGCCAGCCATGGGTCGCTCCGGAGAGCCGGGCCTCATAGCCAACGTGGTGAACGACACCTTGGAGTTCTACCGCTGGACCTGGAGCATCCGAGGTAACCAAGCGCCGAGCTTTTGTTAGTCTCTCTTCAGCCTCCTCCCGATGCGCCGGCACTTGGCCTGTTTTCCCGTTAGCGCTCCTGGCTCTGCAGCACCTGCCGTCTCCTCTCTCCACCCCAAGGCGATCGGTTCCGCCGGCCCCGCCGCCGCCGCCTCTGCCTTCCTCACCACCTTCCCATCCAGGCTATCCGGAAGGGACTTCTCCCCTCCCCGCCCCATCCCCAATTCCTCCTTTGCTTGTCACTGTCACACAACGGTCAAAATGGCTCCGTGTCTCCTTCTTATCTTGTCTAAGCCCGGTGGCTGCGTGACAGGAGGCGGCAAACTCAAATGGAATCCTTTTAGTAGACATTGGCGGGGGGTTCTTCTCACATTTGGGGGGAGGGTGGGAAACCCTGATCCTAAGTAGAGAAGAAATAGCCGTTCCGTTTAAGTTTGCGGCCAGGGATGCTGTTCCGTCTCCTTTTTTAAAATTTTGTACTAGGCAGCCTTCTAATGAGAGTAGACAGTGGACACTTACCAAGCATTTAGAATAAGTTCTAAATTCTTTCTCTGAAAGCTGGTGCTAAATCATAGCCAAGGACTGGTGGTGGTTGCTGCAGAGCTGTTCTAAAACACTGACCTTATTAACTGTGAACATGCCAAGGAAAAAGAGCTGCTGCCCACAAGTTGCTCTACATTAAGAGAGAGAGAGAGAGAGAGAGAGAGAGAGAGAGAGAGAGAGAGAGAGAGAGAGAGAGAGAGAGAGAGAGAGAGAGAGATGTTTGGAAAGTGCTTACTGTAACTGTAACATCTGAAATATGCTTACCACAACTCCACAAGCCATAAATTTTATGTCTATGGAGGTGCCACGTTGACTACCTATGCTGACTGGGAATTACTGAAAATTGATAGTCAATACATCTGAAAACTGGGGAAATGCAAATTGGGGGAAATGAGACTAAAAGTATGATCCAGTGGCATCCTTTGCACTGCGAAGTGAATGTACCATTAATAAATCCTTAGGTATGTTCTTCCTTCCTTCTCCCTCCTCCCCACCCCCCTTTTTTATATTTCTATTTGTCTCTTTTTATGGTAGTCAAATCATTCCTGATAATACATTCTAAGTTTCATGGTGTAGTTAAGTTTAATCCTAAACTAACAGTTTATTTCAAAAAGGGAATGAAAAGTATATAAAAAAATAGCTAATAGACTTACATCAAATGTGTCTAATGATACAGAAGGGTATCCTTTAGGATTGGCATGGCAGGTGCAAGAAGACAGTAGAACAAGATGATCACATGGCTTGTTTATTCTGAAGAATAACTTTGTTCAGTAGGCTTTACCCCCAGATAAATTACCTAAGGTTGCAGCCTTAGATAGCTTCTTGTCTTATACATCAGCAAATAGTTTTGTTCTGCATGCATGATAAATGAAACAATACATGGATAACCAGATGTTTGACATTTTCTTGCTTATGACTGCAGACACATATTCTTCAGGAGCCAGGATTGCATTTTATATATGAATGGCCAATACCTAATTTTAAATGCTAGGATGATTCTGCAACATACTGTATGGATTTCACTACAGGGAATAATAAAATTAATACGGTGTGGGTTATAAATTTTAAGAGTTCATAAGTAAATTCTGGCACTTATGGGACAAAGCCATTCCCACTTCAGATACTTTGTTTTGTGTACCATCTGCCTAATTATTCTCTATTATCTTTCGCTTTTAGTCATACTTAGTCATACTTCAGATATATTCATCCAACATCAACACTGATCCAAAACTTTAAACACTGAATGAAATAGTGATGTATTTACACAGAGCCACTTTCTTTCTTGTGCTTTTTATATTTTCACAGTCATGTTAATAATTTCTGAAAACGAATTGTTCATAATATGGAATTATCAACTTTTTAAATAGCTGCTTTACCTCGTGATTGTTACTTTGTACTCCATACTACATTGCCAGAATCTCACTGAACTATAATAATTCTAAACTGTCAAGAGTAGTATAACGTGGCTTTCTGCTAGAAAACAATTTATTATTTCCTTCTCTTTAGAAAGCCTAGCTGTGATCTGGATAATTTAAAAAATGTTGCCTAACATCTCGTGCTGAGCAGACTAATTTGTACTTCATTAAGTAGTAAAGCAACATCTGAGACTGGTATATGTATATCTGGCATAATCTGTTGTTCCCAAAGTTCATTATGTTTAGTTACAATACTTAAAACACATTTTTCAGTATATTGGTTATCTTGAAGCTCTTGAAATGAGGTGGATATAATTTAGATGGAGAAAAACATAGAATTTCCATTGTATTCCTAGGCAGATGAATGGGCTGGATCTAGCAAAATCTTATTGCAGAAAGAAACTTTTTTGGGGGGTATGTGGAAGACTTTTGATCCAATAAAACCTTTTCACTGCTTGAAGTGGGCAAGAAATCATACATTCAACTATTCTTTCCCTTGGCAATCCTCTGAAAGTCTGCTCCAGAGATTTGGAAAGCTTCCAGAGAATAAAGGAGATGATGGTATGGATGCAGAGGGTAGGACATTTAAGAAAAATCTTTCCTTCCATTATGAAGACGGGAGCAGGCAGAGAGCAGCTCTAAAGCTGAATACTGGTGGTAGAAAAAAAACCTCTAGATTCATTATGAAGGAATTACAGCATATTAGGAATATGAGTTGATTCAGGCCATTAGGGTATGTGTGTTTCTATATTCTTAATATAGCTTCTATATTTATCTTTGTGTGTATGTGTGTGTGTGTGTGTGCAATATTCAAAATTATATTTGCACTATTCAGTAGAGTTATAAAAATATGATTTCATAATGATATGGGAGGAGTTGCATGACTTCTGTTTATATCATTGACTTTTGAAATTAATGATATTAATTTAAAAAAAACAAACCTGTTTGTGTGAATGACAGTAATAAAGTGATTGTTTCCTATTATTCTAAATAACAATTTTGGCCTTTATTGACTTTGCCCAATCACTTAATACTCTTCTAGACATTGTCATCAAATGCATTGTTTACATAATTGTTAACAGAAATTCCATTCATTCCTATTACCGTTAATAGATATTTTTAACAAGGGGCTTGGCAGAGTGGATAGGACAAATAGTTTTCTGAACTCTTCCCAGTGAGTTCATAGTTAAAGATTTATTATTATTATTATTATTATTATTATTATTATTATTATTATTATTATTATTATTATTATTATTATTATTATTATTATTTAGAACTTCATATTCTTAACCACTACTGACCTTTGTTATCAGTTTTACTTTGTCTAAGTTTTATTTTGGAAAAAGAGTGGATCAAATGTTTCTATTTCTATTGTCCTGTAATCTCACCATAGATTTGCTCCTACAGTTCTTTTTATTTATCATGAGAGAGTTTAGAAAAGTAGACTAATCTGAATGAAGCTTCCATTTGACAGGTGGTAGGTTTGGTCCTTCAAACAGCTCTTTGGATTCCAACCTTCCACTTTTAACCAATTGAAAAAAAGGAACACATTCCATATAATCTTCTGAAAACAAAATGCCCAAAGTATCTGACTGCAGTAATGTGGCTTCCTTTGAACCTGATCATAGGATTCTTTGATAATGGCAGTGGTGCTGCTGAATGGATGAATCAGTACACCTATTGCTGTTCCACAACATTTTCAATCAACAACATCTTGAAATTATAACCCAAGACTTTTCTGGCCTTGCCCAGCAACCCTATCATAAAGGTCTGGCCATGTTTAGCTATTGCTCAACTCATGAAATATTTCACCACATTGCAAACATCCCTGTACAGCCACATTGCACAACAAATGAAGAAATTTTATTCTCAGACACCTACACAGTTTCTCTCCATTGTTTTCAACATTCTTATAGTTCTAAAATCAGATTCTCAAATTATTCCTTCCCAACTCTAATCAGATGCCAGAGGGCCAATTCATGCAACTGTGTTCTCACTAAGTTGTGGGGGTGAGGTGATGGTGTAATAATTGGAAGTTAGTTATAAAGCGTGTGTCATGGTTCCGCTTCCCCGCAATTTCAGCTTAAATTTTGGTCTAGGCTTAAAGGGACATCTCGAGTAATTATTGTACTTCCTAACCTTTTTGTGATGAAATAGAAGGGATGGAAGTGAATCTAGCAAGAGAACTTTCTTCTTTTAAGTCTAGTATATAAGATTTGAATTTTACTTCTTGTCCAAATCTATGGATAGTTAATTTCTTATTTTTCAAAATTATTTATTTCCCACTGTTTCTATAAATTAAAAACTTGCAGGGTGCAGATAATCAAAAAGTATCGGGGGGAAAACATTCAATAGCTTACAGATTAGTAATGTCAGTAATGTAATGATGTTGATTTGTAACATTATTGAAGTGATACAGCAGATTGATTTTGTTCTATATATTTCAAAATGGCCCCCAAAACAAACTTCTGAAAACATAGGTCTTCTACCGGTATGTATAAATCTGGTACAACTTAATATATAAAAACATTTAAGAGGTTTTTTTTTATAAGGTCCCTTTCAGTAGTGTTAAGACAGATAACCAAATTCTAAGCAATATCAGAAGTCATTTTGAAATTAGCTTCAAGAATGAATAAGTAAGGTATAGGCAGCAATACAAATCAAAATGACTTTTCCAAAAAATGAACAATAAAAAATGAAATTCTTTTCTGCAAGAAAAGTGACATTTATGCTAAATGTCATCCAATTTATTGCTTCATTATTAATATCAAACTAACCTGTTTTTCTGTTTAAAAAAATCATAAAGATCTAAACTATAGGTACTATCTCAGAGCTATTACTCAGTGAAATTTGTAATTGTACACTACTACACTTATGCCACAATTAAAGAGAATGTGGTTAGGCTATCAGAATAGAAATCAGGAGACCATGAGTTCCTATCCTGCCTTAGGCATGAAAACTGGATGGGTGACCTTGAGCCAGTCTTTCTCTCTCTCTCTCTCTCTCTCTCTCTCTCTCTCTCTCTCTCTCTCTC